TTGAATCATTTTCCCCCCTGTACAGGCCTGTACAGCAAGATGTAATTATTCTTTAGTCCATTCATTTGAAGATTATTTAGAATAAAAGATCAAATAAAGTCTGTCAATTTTTTTTCTCTTACTCAATTGTGTTCATCTGCATATTGATTATCCTTTAATTCAAAAATCTATATGGACTCCAGGAAGTTTCATTCCGCTATGCAAAGTGCATGGAAAGCAATGAAGTTTCTGTAAGATAAATGAGTATTGTTACGCGGCACCTTCCTGAGATTCCTTGGAAGGGTGACGTAAGGCTAAGCAACTGATGTCAATGCAGTTACTGTCCGCCAACTGAGGCTCCCTTCGTACGCTAGACGAGGTTGTCAGGAAAACCAATGTCAAAAGCAATTGAGAGAACAAAAATGAGAATTGAGAATGAAAGAAGCTTGATTGCATTAATGAAAACTATTACTGAAAAGCAATACGGTATCGAGGGAGAGAGACACCAGTACAGAGAATTATTTACTTGCTAGAAAGTTTGATTGTTTGATCCCCCTAATAGTGCTTAAAAAAAAATAAACTGAAGTTACAAGACTAGACTTCACTAAGCTAGAAAAACATAATGGAAGTACATTAAATAAAACTACTCTATATTTACAATGAAAAGGACTTAGTTTTCTACAAGGCAAAAACAGGTCCGTTGTCAGCAAACATTGTCTTTGACACCACGATCTGCACGCGCGACGCTATCTGCGCGCGCGACTGCTGGTATCTGCCTGCGGCTGGGCGCTGGCGAGGGATATCGGTGAGGTGACAGAAGCACATGCGCGCTTGTCATTTGGCGCAGCCAAAACCACGAGGCCGTCCATGGTGCTAGGGTTGGGAGGCTTGCGAGGACGCCACGGGGCGCACCCAAGGGGTCATGGGGCATGAATGGAAAGCCACCCATGACAGTACTTATGATCAAAATAAAATTAGAATGGGAGTTATAGGAATTACCAAGAGGTTAGTAATATCTACTGATAATATTCTTAGTTTTTTTACTGTTGAGGAAAACTAACCCTTTGATCAGTATAAACTACGGAAAAGGGTCAAAACTGACCCTAGACTATTAGAGTTGGTACAATAATACCTTTCGTCCACCTATTTTGCAAAAATTACCCTTACCGTTATCTTTTTGGCTCAAGACTGCCCTTACGACTAACAACTCTGTTAGGTTAAAAAAAACTTAATTAATTTTCACGTGTCATCATCCCATTGGCCTAACTTAAAACTCGCCTAAATTAAAATAAACACACCCACATTCTAAGACCCATAAACAAAAATACTATTTCCTAGTCTATCATTCTTCCTCTCCCTCTTCCGTTTCTTTCTCCTCTTTCTTTTCAAAAATATTCCAACATCTAGAACTCTCATACACCCTTTTTTTTTTCCTAAGCAAACAAAACTCAATTTTATAGTTAATCACCTTACTCTTTCTATTTTTCTCTCTATTAAATGTACACATCAATTCTCCTATTTTTTTTCCATCACAGAAATACCATTCATTATCCATTTTTCTTGCTACACTTCACTGCTTCATACAATAAGCTCAATCAAGTGTTTATTACATTCACATTCTCCAATAAGTCGTATGCTCTCATATTCTCAGGCATAGGATCTGAAAATATTCCTCTTGATTTAACCAATCTCTTTTTTAAAATTGGCGGTGTTGTATAACCTAAAGAGTATCCTTGTACAATAGCTTAATTTATGGACATGATAGGATGTTCAGACTATGGTGAGCTAGTGTAGAAGAAAAAGGTCGAAGTCCGAGCAGAGACCAAGTAAAACTCTGGTATAATCAAAATTGGATGCGGAGTTATCATGAAATATACAACGAAAAATATTGCAAATGCTCAATGACCATTACCATTGACACTCTATTAGTGTTCATATATTCGGGTGAAAATTGTATGACATAAAGTATTGTTAACTAAAAATTTTGGTTGTTTGAAAAAAAAACTTTAATGGTATTTGTAGTGATTATTCCAATAGAGTGCAAGGTCAAAAAAGGATGAGAAGAAGAAAAAGAAAAATATATGAACGCACTCACGCTAGAGAGGGGTGCAGGGTGGGGAGAGATTTTTTTGAGACGGGGTATTATTGTACCAACTCTAATAGTCTAGGGGCAGTTTTGACCTTTTTCTGTTATTTTAATTTAGGTGAGTTTTAAGTTAGGCCAATGAGACGATGACACATGGAAATTGATTAAGTTTTTTTAACCTAACAGAACGGTTAGTCGTAAGGGCAGTCTTGAGCCAAAAAGATAACGGTAAGGGTAATTTTTGCAAAATAGATGGACGGAGGATATTATCGTACAAACTCCAATAGTCTAGAGACAGTTTTGGCCCTTTTCCGTATAAACTATAAATGAGTCTCTAACATATATAAAAATTGAAAGAAAAGCAAATGAAAAATTCCCCTAAAATGCATTCCTAATGAGTCACAATATCCCATAATTCATTATTTAAAGTATATTATGCCCCAATAGCTATTTGAAAAAAGCAAATTTGATCAGCAAAATCTCATATATATACTTGTTAGTAGCACTAAAGTTTTCACTCATTTTGAGCCACTACATAATGTCTCTTAAGGGACAATAACAACAACAACATCCCAGTATAATCCCACAAGTGAGGTCTGGGGAGAGTAGTATGTACGCAGACCTTACCTCTACCCCGAGGGGCAGAGAGACTGTTTCCAGGATAATGTCTCTTAAGGGAAGGGCCTTAATTATAGACCAATCAAAGAAAAGGAAAATCCCAATTAAAAATAACAATTTTAGCTATTAATGTTGTTCAAATTCTAGGAAACATAAAAACAAGGTGATTTGTTTCTATGTATCTAAGTTTAGGTGGATATCACTATTCGATATCAATATTTGTGAGAGACGAGTACCATAGAATTGCTCTCTTTATACATATACTCTAAAGGTGTTAATCGGGTCGGGCCGCCACTAACAATCCGGTTCGACCTGGTTCAGCCCGATTCGGTAAGGGGTGGAACAGGTTGGCTAGGGTAGAGGTTGTGCCGGATGAGGTCGGGCCTTTTTTGGCTACCGGTGCACCGGAACCCGGCTAGCCTGCTAACCCTTTCAGCCCGATTTATGTTGTAATTTTTTATTATTTTTTAAAAATTCTGACGTCAAAATAAAAAATGACCGTTGGGCAATGGCCATTTTTTTTTACTTTTAGCCATTTCGGCCTACCTCCTTACTAAAATAGCCCCTCCACCCCCTAATAGTTGATAAATTACATTCTTAGCCTTTTAATAACTATAAATAGCCCCCCTTGAGAAATTTTCACAAACCACTATTGTTTAGTGGTTATTAGCTAACTATAGATATCATTTATTAAATTACTTCCTATAGCTATGTTTTCAATTGTTATAGAGTGTATTCGATGTATTTAAGCTACTGTATTCATGAATACAGCAGCAAAACTCGGCGTGAAACAGGGGAGTCCAGCTAAGCAACAGTGGTATTTGATTGTATTCGACTGTATTCGCGAGTTGTAATTGTGAATACAGTAACGTAAACTACGTAAAAAATGGTCTTTTCAACTGTTTAAAACAGTAAATGAATCAATTAACGCGATTGACTACTAATATAACTCAACTAACTCAATTATAACACGCACAATCTGTATTTCACGTTAAAGAAAAGATTTTCCAGCCGAAAAATACCACAAAACAGAGCAATCTCTAGATTTTCAATCCCTCCTTTTTCTATTGCTATCGTTTTGTAGATTTCAAAATATGTACTCATTTTAGATGAATACATGTATTTGGAATACATCACATATTCATAAGTACAACAGTGAAAGCCTTGTAAATATATCTTAATACATCTAAAAACAAACAGTAAAAGTCACTATAATAACTATTTATCAGCAAAATACAGATGAATACATGTATTTGAAATACATAACACAATCATAAGTACAACAGTGAAAGTCATCTAAATACATCAAAATACATCTAAACACATCTAAAAACAAATAGTGAAAGTGTTGATTTTTTTGAATTTCTCAAATTGGGCTTGTTTCGACGTGTCATTGCGTATTTTTGTTCTCTTTTTCGCAACTGTATTTGCTGTTGAACCTGCAAATACATGTTCCGCTTGAGTGATTTGCAAATCGAAAGATGGCCCTTTGAAATTGATTGCTTTTGTCGGTATACCTCGGATAACCCTCTTGTAAGGAGTTTAATCAGCCATTGGAGAAGAAAATCTGAGTTTTCTGTAAAAGGATAACAATGGTGATTGTTTCTACAAAAAAAGTACAGATATACAGAATAATACATGTGCCAGTGAAAAACTAACAAGTTTAACACTTACCACAACTTTTTTGGGCAAACAATTTTGAAAATTGAGAGAGAGAATGAAGATGAATCAGTTGATAATGGAGGTTGTATTCGTGGGGAAAATACTGGGTTGGGAGAGAGATAGTGGAGAGAGAACGTGGGTTTAACAAAATTGTATACAATACCGATATTATTGGGAGAGAGAAAATAGAAAGTATGAGAGAGAAAAATATTTCAGAGCGTATTTAAGGGCTTAACAATAGGAAGTGACCATAAATAGATAATTTGCTATAAAACCTAAAAGGTAACTATAGAATATAATTTTATAAAAAGGTATTTATTTATAATAAATAAGGTGTAAAGGTTTGCTATAGGAGGTAAAACTTCCAACGTATACACTAAAAAAAATTACCCCGACCTGATTCGATCTAATAAGCCCAAACCCGAACGGGCCCACCAAAATTCAGTATATCGCAACCCACTATCAGCCCGTGATCCCAGCCCATTAATCAGCCCGCTTCACTAACCAGACGGGCATTTTTTTTTCCATGTCCAGCCTCGGTAAACACTCTTAATATTATACTCCTGTATATATTTTTTCTGTCTATTTTGTTGTCTTTTTTTTCTCTGACGCGTCCTTAAATCTACAGCGGTGACAAGGGATACAAAAGTAATTTCAGAAAGCTTCAGTATATAAATATACTCTTTAGGGTTTTACTTCAAAATCCATTAGAGCTGTGTGAGCTTTTGTTGGCCGTCGTAGCTTTCAACTCGTTCTTCCGCTCTTCCAAGGTAAGCTATTTTCCTTTTCCCCAAAAAACAAATCATGTTGTTTCAGTAATCTGTTTTTAAATTTTTTTCGATCAGCTATTTTTCTTTTGGTCAAATTCTATAATAGGACTCAATCTTTTAGCTCAATTTGGATTTGTGTGATTGATCTAATAATAGATGTGTATTGTTATTGGATTTTTCTGACTAATGTTGCATGCTGATAAATTGGGTATTTGAAAAACAAGATTGCATCAATCGAAGAAGAAGGGAACATGTGTATCAAAATGACAAACTCATTGTTCTTTTTATTTTAATTATCTCATTGGTTAAGGTTAGTCTCATTAGGGTCGAAGGTTTGATTTGAAAACAAGAACTTGTTTGTGTGAAAGAAAAGGTGAAGTCTTGCGTTTTGGGTGCACCCATGAGGTTCCAGGAACAATATTGACGATTGGGTGTGGTTTTTTTTTTAAAACTTTTTGTATACTTGCGGGAATTATAAAAATTATTGCCTTATGGAAAGAAGTTTCATTCTATGCATACAAAAATTGTTCATAGCAGACTGATAAGGAGGACTTATATAAGGAACTAGCCTACAGAGAAAAGAACCATTAACCTAGGTTGAAAATTTGTGAAGTGGACACCCTCCTCAGCCTAGTTTTGTCATTTTAGTTATTTTAGTTGGAAAGGATATGTGAGACCTGCAATAATGGAAGCTCGTACCTTACTTTGTGTTTGTGTCCGGTTACCCCCAATGCTTATTTTCTGTCATTAAAAACAGGAATTTATTCGTCTGAGAAAAGGTAAAGTCTTGCCTTTAAGTGCACCCATGAGGTTCCTGGAACAGTATAGACGATTGGGTGTAGGTTCTTTAACTTTTCATATATCACTTTCACCTGGAATTCTTCCCACCATATTATTTAAAACTATTACATTGTGGAATAGATGGATTCTTGATACAAGAATTGTTCAGAGCAAACTGATCAGAAGGAGGTGTACAAGGATAAGAACTTTGAAGTATTGATCTGCCTCTGATAAAATGCTTTAGTATGTCAACATGTTGAGTGTTGTTTGTTTTGCTTATTGATGGTTCTTAAGTTATTAGATTGCAAGGTTTTAGAGTGCTTTGCTTCTTTCTACTAATGTTTTATTTTATCTCCTCCAAGGTGTTTTCCATTATTTAACTATGGTTTCTTACAAATATATTCTGCATTTGCAGAATGGAATCTGCAACCAAGCATGCGATTGTGGTGAAAGTCATGGGTCGTACCGGATCCAGAGGACAGGTGACACAGGTGAGAGTCAAGTTTCTTGACGACCAAAACAGGTTTATCATGAGAAATGTCAAGGGACCAGTCAGAGAGGGTGATGTTCTCACACTGTTGGAGTCTGAGAGGGAGGCCAGGAGATTGCGCTGAGGGCATAATTATGAATGCCACATTGAAATTGCCTTGAGTACTTGTACTGGCTTTGATTTAGTCTTTGGTTTTGTTTGCTCAGACTCGTAATTTTCAACATGTTTTTAACGATGATAGTCGTGTAAGTTTGGTGCAGTTCAAGGTTTTGGAATAGTTTTTATGATAATATTTTGCTACCTTTTCTGCGGTGTTCCATTTCTGTGAATTGGTTCTGTAGAAGCGATGGTTTCTTCTGACTTATATTTGTGTTCATACTATGTTTTCTGTTGCTGCTTTTGTTCTTGATAAGACTGTTAATAGTCCATAATGCCATTCAAACAAGCTGCCTTAAATTATTTACGAACCAAAGCCTTCAATTTTGAGACTTTAGCAGATGTAGAAGTTCAGTGACCGTAAATGTTCAATCCGGATCTAAGGTGGATTTAGGCAGCTTGAGCAATAATTTCTGGATGCATATGTTTCACACTTTTTTTGGGGGTAATTAAAGATTTTATATACTGCACATACTGCATTTTGCATGTATTGCACATTCTTTATATTAGTTTATTTGTTATTCTGTAACTTTGGAAAAACTGTTCTTCCATCTTTTAATGATAAAACAACACCTGAAAGTTCTTGACTGTCGAGGGTAATCCAGTAACTACATGTAGAAGAGGGGTTAAAACATGAAATTACTTTCATATTGCATGAGGATTGTAGAATTAAATGTAATTATATTTTTGCATTAATTTCAGTAATAAAAGAATCTGTTAAGACCATAACTAAATTAGTAGAACTTAGGAGATATATCAATTAAATGTAGAGTTCAATATTTCCAAAAGCAACGCACGTTTTACTAACATCAATTGCATTAGGGAATATATGGGAATTAAACATACAATGACACGAACAAACGCAACTAAATTAAGTAACGATACCATTCTACCCATCGTTTTATAATGTATTGTATTGTATCATTTTATAAATACAACATTTAAATCAGTGTTTTAAAAGGCTTTTCTGGGACTCGTCTCGGGGCTCGCCCTGGGCAAAGCACTATCAAAACACCTTGAGGCTTATGTGTGGGGCTTAGTTCTATGAGGCTTACGCCCCAAAGCGCCCGACTGTATGCCCTAAACATGCCTAACGCTCAACGCTCGGGACTCGCCCAACAGTTTCTATGTTAATCATGTGTTGAATTCACTAATTAGCACTATTGGCTCGCAAAAATTCTTTACCAAATGAATGAGTAGAGTTATTTTTATCTATAGAAATAAGAAAATTGTGAATAACTCAAATAACGAACCATAGTATTGCATATTTATAATTGAGAACATCGAGAGGGTGAATATTGCTTCCGACGGTAGATAACGGAAATTTATATCTTTACTTGATAGATATTCATGTCTTAGTTCTATGTCTCCTAAAATTATTATACATTTATTATTTTACTTTTAAAAATAATTTATATTTACTCATGAAGGAGTAATATTTTAAACTACAGTATAAAATTTATTGAGTATTTACTTTTAAGGGGAAAAATATGCAGTTTGATAATAATTGTTACGAAATTATGATTTTTAATTTTTTGAAAGTTAAGACGTTGTAGTTAATTTATATTTACATAGTAACTTTAATAGTAGTGCATTATTTATACTTGTAAAACATGCTAGATATTTTATTTATATGAGTTTGTTTAATTCTTTTTAGTTTTCTTGAACTTTTAATATGTCTTTTATATTTTTTTTTGTCTTATAATGCTATATTATTAATTCATAAATTTTAAAAATTAAAGATTCATGGGGCTTACGCACCATGTCTCGAGACTTTTGCTTCGCCCCGTATTAAGTAAAAGCCCTGTCTCACGCCATCGCCTTTTAAAATACTAGTTTGGATAGATTGTATTGTTTGTTGTTGTTAAATAACATTTTATTGTTTGTTGTTGTTAAATAACATTTTATTGTTTGGTTTGACTGTATCATACTGTACTATAATAGATAAGTTTACTAAAATACCCTCAATTATTCAAATATTAAATTTATCAAGAAGTACGCGTAAATATAATTTAAGAAAATCCCTTCTACTAATTTATCACCAAACATGTCTTATAAATAGATTAAGCAATTAAATTCATACAAATTCTAACAAAATTAACAATTTTAGATTGGAGTTGGAAGCGGCAGAAGATCTGGAAAAAAGGGACGAAGACAAAGTAGGTTATAGGTGAGAGATTTGGAGTTAAAATTAAAAAAAAGAGGTAAAGGATAAAATAGAATTATGAAGTAATAAGTTAGGGCACAAATAAAAAGAAAAATAAGAAACAATCCCACCACACCAAATCGGTTGTTTAAAACATGAGACTTTTCATTATTCCGAAATAATGAATTTGTCACGATCCAATTTCTCCCTCAGTGAGTTGTCGTGACGGCACCTAGTCTCTACGACTAGGTAAGCCTAACACTTGCGGAAACGAAATAAAAGCATGAACATTAACTACTAACAGTAACAAACATCTAGTAAGCAACTGAATGCCACTCGATATATAAAATTTTCGCCTCTGAAATGTACCGAATAATTCCCAAAATCTGGAATACCGTAAGTCACAAGCTACTAGGACGTCGTAACTGTTCTATGCATCATCTCTACCGAAAGAAGGAAAATGAACATAAGGGGATAGAGGGGAACTCCGAGGATCTGCGGGCAGATGTACCTTGAAGTCTCCAATATGCAGAAGCAACTGAAACTAGTGATGAAGCTGGTAAGATGAACCTGGATTTGCACACGAAAAATATGTGCAGGAAAGGGCGTGAGTACACCACAACGGTACTCAGTAAGTGCCAAACTTAACGTACACGACGCTCACATATCAAACAGTACCAAATCCTAAGGGGAGTTCTCTCACACAAGGTTAGGTAAGCCTCTTACCTCGAACCAAGCTCAAATCAATCTGAAACAACGCTATTTCCACAAAAATCCGACTCTGAATGGCCCAAATCTAGCCAAAATCAATTACACAACATGAATACAACTACAAGGATCTAATCTAGCTCCCGAAATCAAAGCCAAAACAAGAAATTAAAAATTCGCCCAAAAAAGCCTCCCTGGGCCCACGTCTCAAAATCGAGTAAAAGATACCAAATATGAACACCCATTCACTCACAAGTTCACTCGTACCAAAATTATCCAAATCCAATGTTTAAATCCCACTCAAAACTCGAAAATTCGGTTGGGGAACTTTTCCCCCATTTTTCTAACTTTTCAATCCAAATCCGAAATTAAATGGAGAAAATAAAATTAGATTAATGAAATATAACTAAAAACGAGTAAGGAATCGTTACCCAAAATCTCTCTCTGAAAATCCCTTAAAGAATCACTAATTTTAGAGCTCCCAAGACCAAAAATGGAGAAATGAATCAAATCTTCAATTTAGCCCTTTTTCTGCCAGTTAGACCGCACCTGCGGGAGGACCATCGCATGTGCGAAAACAACTTAAATGGGCTGAGACCGCATCTGCGAGCACTGGGACGCACTTGCGAGCCCGCTCCTGCGGTCCCCAGTCGCTTCTGCGGACCCCTCATCGCACCTACGACCCAGCTGGACAAGGCCCATATCTGCATCTGCGGTTCCATAGCCGCTTCTGCGGCTCTGCACCTGCGGCCCAGAGTGCGCAGGTGCGGTTACACCAGATACAACAACTTCAGCCATTTTCCTTAGTCTCAAACCAATCCGTTAAGCACCCGAAACTCACCCGAGGCCTTTGGGACCTCAACCAAACATACCAACCAATCTTAAAACACCATACAAACTTAGTCGAGCCCTCAAATCACATCAAACAATGCTAAAAACACAAATCACCCTCTAATCCAAACTTAATGAACTTGAAACTTTGATTTTTTACAATCGATACCGAAACCTACCAAACCATGTCTGATTGACCCCAAATTTTGCACACAAGTCATAATCAACACTACAGACCTACTCCATCTTTCGGAATGGGAATCCGACCCCGGTATCAAAAATTCCACTACCGGTCCACTTGTCCAAAATTTTGACTTTCGCTATTTCAAGCCTAAATGAGCTACGGACCTCCAAAACCCAATCTGGACATGCCCCTAAGCCAAAAATTACCTAACGGAGCTAACGGAACAGAGGAACTTCATTTCGGAGTCGTCTTTACATAGTTCTGACTACGGTCCAAATCATAAGGTTTAAGCTCCCATTTAGGGACTAAGTGTCCCAAAACACTTCAAAAACCCAAAATGAAACTTCCCGGCAAGTCACAATAGCAGAAAAAAATACAGGGGAAGCAGTTAATAGGGGATCGGGGATCTAACTCTCAAAATGACCGGCTGGGTCGTTACATCCTCCGCTCTTAAAACAGTCATTCGTCCTCGAACAAGAATAGAGACATACCTGAAGTGGTGAAAAGATGAGGATAACAGCTACGCATATCTTGCTCGGTGTCCCAAGTCACCTCATCGACCGGATGACCCCGCCACTGAACCTTTACTGATGCAATGTTCTTTGACCTAAGCTTTCGGACCTGCCTATCCAAAATAGCCACTGGCTCCTCAACATAGGGTAGATCCTTGTCCAACTAGACTGAGCTGAAATCCAATACGTGAGACAGATTGTCGTGATACCTCCGGAGCATCAAAACATGAAATACTGGATGAACTCCTGCTGAGCTGGGAGGTAAGGCAAGCTCATAAGCAACCTCCTTAACTTGCCGCAACACCTCAAAGGGACCAATAAACCTTGGGCTCAGCTTGCCCCTCTTTCCGAACCTCATGACGCCGTTCATAGGCGAAACCCGAAGTAAGAACATCTCTCCAACCATGAATGCAATATCGTGAACCTTTCGGTCTGCATAACTCTTCTGTCTGGACTGGTTTGTGCGGATGCTATCCTGAATCACACTAACCTTATCCAAGGCATCCTGAACGAAGTTCGTACCCAATCATCTGACCTCGCCCGGCTCGAACCAACTCACTGGGGATCGACACCGCCTACCGTATAGAGCCTCATACGGTGCCTTCTGAATGCTGGACTGATAACTATTGTTGTAGACAAACTCCGCTAGTGACAAGAACTGGTCCCAAGAACCTCCAAACTCCATCACACACGCACGGAGCATATTCTCAAAAATCTAAATAGTGCGCTCCGACTGTCCGTCCGCCTGAGGGTGAAATGGTGAGCTTAACTCCACCCGAGTACCCAACTCATGTTGTACGGCTCCCCAGAATCGTGATGTAAACTGC